AAGTACTTCCAAGGGTGCTTCCAATCTTCCAAGTGCATATCACTGCTATCAATCCCCATTAAAATTCTCTGTCTCTTGGATTCTGTTTGCATTTTGGTAAGTAGTCTTGTTCTGAGCCAGGTTGTAAAAAGGTGGTTTTGTTAAAAAAGGGATTTTTGTTTAGGAATGTGAGCTACTGAATAGAGCTGTTTTTATTTTGCCTATAAAATGCACAAAGCTGTATTAATCATCAAGTAGATTTGTAATACGAAAAGTGTGGTTTATTCGGAATATTCGAAATTAGTGAGATCCTTCTCTTCCATAGTCACACATAAGTAATATTTTCAATGACTGTGTGAAAATTTTTTGGTTTCAATTCCTCATTTATCAATTTTAATGTAGATCATTTATTTAAATTCAGGATGATAATCACCAACTACATTTTGGTAAAGTAATGGCTGAAAAGCACCGCCCAAATAAATATTGTGTGGGCCAAATTTTCTTTTTTTTTTAAAAAAAAAAAAAAATGAGTACTCATATCCTCACAAAAAAAATTAATCTTGAAAACAAAATTCACGAACATGTTTCAATAAAAGATAGAATTTCTCAAACTTTTCCTGATACAAAAGTTTATGCTATCTCAGTTGATTATGAGGAAACTCCAAGCAAAAAATCTCTGCTTAAATATACGATGACGTCTCATGGATTGGCAGCGGCCATTCTTCATGCTTACAACCACCATCAACATTTACGTTTATCGCCTGATGATGTCTGGTTAACTATCGCACAGGGAGTTAGTCATCATATTAATTATAATGCAGAAAAATTCCGTTATTATTTTGTCAATCATGAAGGCAAAGAAGAGATATGTGTTTGGGTCGACGATATTTTAAATTCTAGCTTTGAGGGAGATTGGCCTGAAGTGGTGAATAGATTGGTTGAGAAAACTGATCAAGCTATAGAGAAAATTGATATAAAATCTCTTTTAGAATGTAATTTTTCTACTACAACGAAAAATTCGCTTACCGCTAGTCGTATCGTTCTTTTGGATATGGTTAAAGCATATTTTACATATAAAATATGTACATTGTGCGGAATTCCTAAAGTTACTCTTGAGGGTACTTTAGAAGATTGGGAAAAGGTGCAAGAAAAGGTCATTCAATTACGACGATTAAATTTAGATCTCGATTTTTGGTTGGATAGATTGGAGCCTGTTATTTGCAAGTTAATCGAAACTTATAAAGGTGAAATTGATGAAGACTTCTGGTCAAGGATAGCCTCGGAAGAATCGTTTGGTTCAGGCCCTAGTGAAATTAGTGGATGGATGATGGCCTTTTATCCTTATGAAAAGAATGGAACAAAGATATCTTATGATTTAATTGAACCGAAAGATATTCCTGATGGAAGGGTTGCAGTCCCATTTTCAACTGATACCGGATTAAATTTAAAATTTATTGCTGGATTTTTGGGTGCGCAACAAGAATTTCTCGAAAATTCTAATGAAGTGGTTGTCTCGCCATTGATTGGTTGGTCTGTTATTGATGATAAAACTGCGAAGAAGGACGTTTGTTAAATTTTTCTACATTTATATCGATACATTATGAAAATTTAAAAATTTAATAAACTCTATGTATGTCTATTTTATTGTGCTAATTTGTTCGTTATAAATAATTTTTTACGACTTTCAACATAATTTCTTTTCTATATAATATATATTGAAAGAAAATGAATAAAAACAAAGATAATTATTTATGTAATACATAAATTATATTTTTGGACGAAATAATTTTTTATTTGCTTCATTTTAATTGGCTGATCTTTAAATGATAATTCTACCTTTTGTATCACGTGATAACGATTACAGATCTTATATAATTAGAGCAAATATATTTTTATTAATTGGAAGCTTAAAATAATAGAGCTTTATTTATAATTTAGACAAAAGATACAATAAAGGTAAGGAAGGGTATCGATGCATTAAACAAAAATAAGAATTTAATATGAAAGTTGTCTAACCGTTTGCATCCAATATCAATCTGAATCATAATCTATAACTCCTTGAAGAAACGAATTCTTGACCTTTTTGTACAAATACGTTTATTATAAATATATTATATTTGATACATGAACAAGAACACGGGAAATATATGCATTGCATGCATAAATTGATCGCTCCCGGAATTAAAAAGTAGCCACATTTCTGCGGGTCGGTCACAGTAAAATTATAATAATTCCAAGTGACTTGATTTTATTTTCTTATAATTTTTTTTTACTACATACTATTAAATTTTGCTTAAAACGAATATATAGATACATTAGTTTAAATATTTGAAGCAATGGAAAGAGTGAAGTTACACGTATATCTTTTCCAAATAATTTAATTCTGAATGATGGTGTGGTGAAGTATTCCAAAAGTTAGTGTTAGATCATGATGTAATGTACCAAAATCTTTAAATTACAAACCGTATTTTGTTAAAATTAATTATTCAAAAAATTTTAACACTCACATTTTAATGTCACGTGTTGGATTTTAATGAGGTACGTCATTTCCTTTATTATAGATTTTTGGCACAAATATTTTAAAGCCGTGAACTTGTTGGACGAGATTCTATCGCCTATCTCATTAGTTTTTAATGTTAATAATGCTGCATGAAACGTCTTTTGAACAATCAATCTTTATTATTCGCAACATCATCTTTGTTAATAACTGAATATAACGTATGGAAGAAGTTAGATGAACACACTATTTAGAATATTTTTAAGTTCAATTAAAAAAATAATTATATGAAAATAAATGGAATTCTTGAAACGAATATTTATCACTATTAATTAAAACTCTGTCATGTAATTCTTTGATAATAACGCAATAAATCAAGCCCACAGCTCTTTGTTATAAATTTACATAAAGTGTTTTTTGAAAAGAAATAATAAAAATAAACTAAAAATAAAAAAATACAATAAATTTTTTAACATTTTCTACTATGTCTCTGTTATAGTGATTATTCAAGGCTTGACTCAAAATTGGAATATTTTGCGCTAAATTCTGGATTCATTTTAGAAAAAAATTTGCTCTTATAGTATGTAATGAAATAAATAATTTTAGGATTTGCAACATATTCTATCAATTTATACCTTTTTATTTCCTTTTAGTTTAATTTTTTTTTTGCTCTTTAAGCGCTCTTTAAGCAAAAACAAAATTAAATTAATATACGCTCGTTGGAAAGTTATTGGAATATTATTGAAATTAACAGAAGTCAACAAAAATTATAAATTTTTGTATAATAACGAAAAATCCAATTTCATGACGAACATGACGAGTTAAAGTTTAAAATACTAAACTACAATCTAAATTAAGCACAGTAAATAAAAATTTATTTTACTGCTTATCAAGATTATTTCATCAGTTTGTTAATTCAGATTTAATTTAAAATAAAATATTTTTCTTAATATCCATCACTGTTATCTTTAGCTTATTTTTAGAATATTCTAAAAAAATTTGCAAAACAATGATGTTATACTATAATTATACTTTGTCGGTATCACAACTCCCAAAAATTTCGCGGGATTTCAATTTTGCTAATTTGCTGATATAATTGGTCAAAAAATTGCTTCGGTAAATTATAATCTAAATTGCAGCAACTTCCAATAAATAAAGATAGATCAGCAAAACAATGCTTCGTTTAACGTTTCATTATAAACATCAAAAACTTTTTTAATTTTACTTAAAAGGAGAAGGAACACATTAAATAATTATGCGTAAAATGTATTCTTCCTTACTACCATCACCACCTTTCAATAAGTTTACGGTTTTTATCTTTTATGGTTTATTATCAGTAGCGTTAATAACGTTAGCACAGGAAGATAGTATAGGGAATGCAAAAAGTTGTATAGTAGATCACTTGCCAGTTGCGGAAGCGAATTAGCAAGTAACGATAGGATATGTTCGACTTTTTAGCACAAATCAACCAAAGTCAACTCCAGAAATTCCAATTCCAAAAATTCAATGGAATAATTATGATTATATAAATGTTATTGGTATGAATATAAGAAAACTTTTTTCACTACATTTGCGTAAGTTTCTCACAAATTAGAATGGATTACTTAAAATAACTACTAATTTTGAAACTTAGCATATCCACAAGACAACGGAGGAGATTCGTATGATATTTTCCGTCCAAAAGAAAAGAATAAATTAAACCCCATAAATGATTTGGTTAAAGTCATCTACTAAAGTAAGCATTATATTAAAAATATTTAGTATTAAATTAATAATATGATAACATTTTAATAATAATTATTTTAATATAAATTCTTCTTTCAATAAGAAATTATGACGTTGGTAAATGGCAGAAAGGGCCGCAAGAGCAGCAGGAATATCAAAGAATTATTAGCGATGCAATTAAAATTATAAACGAATATCAATTAAATGGTATAGACATTGAATATCCAGGAATGAGAGGAAGTTTATGTAAAAGGCCTGATGGTTTTATATGGGATAAAATAAATGATGAAAACTTCATTAATTTTTTAAAAAACCTTCGAGAGGCATTGAATGGAACGGAAGGTCCAAAAATACTAATGTTAACAGTTGGTAGAGATGTAATTGAAAATTTAAAAGATGATATTGATAATATTGATTTTCTTAACATTGAAACTTATCACAATAGTTTATATCGAAATTTAAAGACGCCAGACGATAACAACTATAGATCATATCCAAACTCTCCATTAGATGCATACCAAGCTGCATATTTAGCATGTAGATTTTAGGAATACCGTCCAAATGGTACCTAACGTAGCTATTAAACAAAGTCAATATGTTGATTTTCCCAAATCTGTTTCTACCTATGATTTTAGCAAACTAAATGATCAAATCCAATCAATCATAGATTTTTGTTTTAAAATTAATTCAAATTTATATTCATGACCATGGAAATATCTTTCAAATACCGTTCTAAATTCATCAGATAGAATTTGTACTACTATTAATCCTAATTGGACACGTAAATTCGAATCAACAGATAATTCTGGTACTCCATGGCTATATAGCGTTCCTGATCCAAACGTTCCTTTTAATCATTTATATGTATCTTATGAAGATATTAGTTCATTACGTAGTAAATTAGAATTTGCATTGACTAAATCACTCGGAGGAATATCAATATCTGACGTTAGTTATGATGATAATTATAATAATTTATTAAATTTTATGCAACCAATACGTGGGATACCGGTTCCAATAGATGGAGGTTCATCTAAAGGCTCGCCATCGAATAAATCAAGTAATGAAAATTCTAATGATCAAAATAAGAAAAATAAAGGCGGAATTATCGCTGGATCAATTATTGGAGGTATATTTGGTCTACTTTTATTAGGAAGTTGCGCGTACATATATCGGCAAAAAGTTCTTAAATCCGAAGCTGGTATTAATCCAGAATACTCATCAAATCGAGTTGTTTCCACTATACAAAATGAACGGCGGACCACCGATCATCTAACGATCGAATGAATCGTTACATAATCCGGTGATTTGCTAAGTAAGAATAAACTTAACATTAGTCAAAAAATTCTGGCACATCATCTTGGAACATATCAGTTTTTGTTTTGCAAAAGACGAATGTCTTTTGGCCCATATGTCGTTTATTACTGTTACTAACATATGGGACATTACGGATCATATGATTTACTATGTTCGTAACTCGATTTTAATAGCAAACCTCCCATATATGACAGCATTTTTCAATTGTTGACGGAAAAGATAAATTTTCTTAGCAATAAAGTATAATTTCAACTAAATTGTATTTGCCTCCACTGCGATTAATCATAAATATGTATCAACACGATTAAAATAGCAAAACTTTAGAAAGATCACTTTCTTGAACGAGATTTTATGAATTATAATCTCATCCAATTTAATGAGTATTTTATATGATAATATACAACCATTGCATTTTAAATGCATTTCTTGTATCTGTAAAATAAATCATCGCAAAATCTTTTTACCTTCTAAATCTATGATTTTTGAGACATTCGCATTAGAAAGGAGAAACTGCAGGGTAATTAATAAAAGAGTTAATGCTGAATCTGAACTTAACTAGGTTCTAGATTTCTATTAAGCTAATAAATAATACTTTCATAAGTACATATTTGGATAGTGATCTTGCGATACATTCGGTTGTTCGAAATCGAATTTCAAGATTGATGCATTTATTTTATGTGATTCAATAAGAAACTTCGCAGGATTGTCGTTAAGTATCAAAAATATTTTAAAATAGTACTTCCAACTCGATATATATATACGATGCATATGCAAGTACCGCATGATGCATCATTGTTCATAAAATTTTAAAAAATCTAGAAATCGTGAACACAAATGATAGATGAATATATTTTCATTCATCATCATTATAATGATTATTAATCAAAAGTTAAACTACCGCGAAAATACAAATCTACTTTTATATGCCAAATATGATGTTAGATGTTGCATTAATATTTTCCAGCAATTTACCATATAATGGTAAACTAGGAAACGGCCGATGTTAAGTCCGGATCGATTTTAATGCCTTTTGCAAAAAAATGATTTCTGCTAACTGAGCGGAGGAATTCGATTTATCTTTAATATAATAATATGATAAAGTGACCACAACAATAAAAACATACGATCAAACTGAAATTTTAACTCGTTTCGGCGTAAAATTGCTATTCTGACGTGATAATAATGAAGTCTAATTTTCAGTACATTCAAGTGTCGAATAATATACTTTTTGGTAATAGTTGTGTTGTGACGCTATCATTTAGTTACGAAATTAGCAGAGAATCGGTTGTCAAAACGAAATGGGCAATTATGTGTCCGTATTTGAGGTGGAAACTCCTAGTTGAGAAAGATTAGAAAATTTTTTTGATCAATAATTAAAGATTGTTATTTTATTTGTAAGTTTTAATGGGCCATAATATTGAAACTTGTTTTAATTGAATTGAATTGTTAAATCTTTTTGGTGACCAATCAAAATTTTCAAATTCTCAAATTAAAAAAAAAAATTTGATTTTATTTAATTCGGAATCGAAACAATAATTACAATATTCTAATAATTTAATGGAATAATGTATAAGGAAGGCTAAGGCTTGTCCTGAAACGAATGATATCATATTTTCTTTTTAAAATTCCTTTTATTATTCCTATTTGAAAATTAATCATCCTTTGGTGAATAATTAATCAATCCATAATAGTTTATCCCGTTTAAATATTTATCTATTATATGCTTTTGTTTAATTAAATCTTTCTCTAATTATTTATTTGAAATATAATGTAAAAATAGTGTTACGATTAAATGCAAATTCCGGCCGAAATCTCCATAATTTCGTTTGAAGATCGCTCTTGATAATTGCAGTTAGTCCCTTTGACGATCATTTGCCAGTTTGTCACGGTGCCAGTTTGTCAAGACGCCAGTTTGGCTTAATTAATAATCTTTTATAAATACGAGCCGGAAATCCTACAACAGAACAATATTCCATGCTCGCCTTTAGCATATTTCTTTGCAAATCATTCCATTCGCTATCTTCCCTTTACACCTTCGCGATAATTTCGATTTTCGCCCTTTAAAATTTTATAATTTCGCATTTTGTAACACAGTTCACTATTTCATTTTTAATTTCCGATTTAATTAGTAGTTTATTATATAATTTTTATGTAACAGTTTCGTAATTGCGTAGTTAGAATTTATTACTTGGCATTTACATAGTTTAATATATTGAAAAAGCGAATGTGTAGAGCGCCGACGTTGAGGCAACACTGACTAAATTTGACATATTAAATAAATTCTTGTAATAATTACTTCATTTTTATTCAACAATTACTCAATAAAACCTTCTGCTTACATTTACAAATTGTTTATAAATACATAAACGAAAGAACTGAATTCAACAATAGGTTAAACTATTACCCAAATCGACAGATCAGTTTAATTACTGATTATTTCGTATAATTAGTGTAATATTGTCAAATCTATAGAAAAATAAGTTTTATACTACAGCGCAACAAAGCTTTATGAGAATTTTAACCTTTTTTGCATACAGAAACAGTAATATTCTAATAAAAATATTTCTTAGATATTTTCGCTATATATATAATGCTAGTATTGCACAATTTTCACTAATTTGCACAAAATTAATCAAATATAACTACTAAGCATCCCCTTGACAATCAAATACATTAATGTCTTACAAATTACAACGTGAAATATTGCTTATGTATATTTTGTATTTTGTATAAATTAATAAATCATACTAGTTAATTAATAATACATTTCTCTGAGTAACTAATGTAAAACACCCAGCTTCATATAGTTTCACCTCTTATTTTACAATGAATTTGTATTTAATTAATTAATAAAACACAAATTAATTTACAAAGAAAATAATTTGTCTCATATTATTTCAACTTCTTAAATGTAAATTACCAAATGTATGAATATCAAAGTTATTTTTTTAAGATACTTGTAGAAATTTTAAAAAAAATATTTAAGAACTATTCTTCAAGTCTATGTATAAAATTTAGACCAAAAGTCATGTGCACAAGTTGTACTAAAAAATAGAAAATTAATGCATGTATTACATAGTATTTCCATTTTTATATATAATTTATCTATTTTTAGTAATTATTTGCACATATGTTATGTTGTGTAATATGTGCAGACAAAATTTAATGTGCTTATGTACACATTGTGCACATGAACTTTACATACTGTTTCAAGTTCAGTGAAAAGATTCCTTAACTCAGGTATATATAAAAAAATTAATATATCTTAGCACAAGGTTTAAGAAGATATTAAAACTATTTAAGAACTGTTTTTAAGTTCAGTAAGAGGATTCCTTAATTAAGATATATATAAAAAATTAATATATAATTTTTTAAATAATTTTGCTCAAAAACATAAATAGCTTACATCTTTATTTTTCTAAAAACATTTTTATTTTATCAATGTTTAATATATTTCTTATCTAATCTTAAAATAAAAAATAAAAAATAAAAATAAAAATAAAAGTTTTGATTTATCATAATTAATTTTGAACATAAATATCTTAATATTTACTAAACCAATTATTATCAATCTTTGATTAGCAGATTTAATATATTCTAATTTTTCAAATAGTCAAAATTTTATCAAAATCCAATCACTTAATCCAAAGAAATTTGTAAAAAACAGAAAGCAATTATTTTGAAACTCATTATATAAGAATCTCAAGTAAATAATGTGAATACTAGAACTAAAGAAAAGAACTATCCAAAAATAATAATACTGAATACTAATATCATCATTAGTGAATCTAAAAAAAGTAAAATCTGTATATTTAATATGTAAGAAATAGCATTCAATTATTTAAACTGCAAACTTTTAAAATAAAACAATTATGTGATCTAAGATCATAGAAATATTAATTCAATAATGATCAGATTTAACCTTAAAAAAGCTTTAAATATGCTAAAATTCATCAAATTAGATCACATAAAACTGAAATAGCTTTATAAATTAAATAGATTTTATATATAATAATACATTTTTTTATGAATATAAAAAATATATTATTTCCATATATAAATTTCTTATAGAATATAATTTATTTATTCTAAATTTTTTGATTTATTTTATTTTATAAATAAATTAATTTATTTATATTAATTATTAATCTTAATTAATCAATTTGATAATTCATATTTTAATAATTATAATTTAATTTATATATATAAGTTTATTTAAGTAATTACAAACTGTATTTTTATAATATTTATTCTATATACAGTGTTACTAAATAAATATTTCATAAAATTATAATATAATATAATTATAAAGAAAAAAAATATTGGATTTATTTATAATATATTTTAATTATTTTCATCTATTATAAAAATAAATTAATAAATTAAAATATATATATTCAAGCTTATATTTAAATTACTTACTTATTCATTATTTGTAATATTTAAAGCTTCTATAATTAAAAATATATAAGTTAAATTAAATAAATTAATAAATTATATATATGTATTATAATAATTACCAAAATTTTGACTAAATTCTAAACTTTTAATTTCATGATCTAAAATTTCATTTAATCTTTCAGTAAAATCAAGTAAACGACTTGTATGAAATACTTGTGGATGATCTTTTATATCATTTAAATTATTAGTTTGATTTTGATTTAATGTTTTATCTGCTTTATAAAATTCTATAATATCATCTTTTAATTCTGTATCAAAATCTTTAACTTTAATAATTTTAATCCAAGTATTAGTAATTTCTTTAATTTCTAATGCAGTTGGTCTTTTTGATGGATCCATATGCCAACATTTTTTCATTAAATTTATATAACATTTAGGAGCATTTTTAATGAGTTTAGGACGTTTACCTTTACAAATATCTAAACTAAGTTGAAAATATAAGCTTCATTATTAAATGGAGAAACTCCTGATAATAATTCCCACATAATTATAGAGAAACTATATATATC